AACCCTATCTCGAGCCCAGAACCCTATCTCGAGCCCAGAACCCTATCTCGAGCCCGGAGCCCTATCTCGAGCCCGGAGCCCTATCTAGCGCCCGGAGCCCTATCTAGAACCCAGAACCCTATCTCGAGCCCAGAACCCTATCTAGAACCCAGAACCCTATCTCGAGCCCAGAACCCTATCTAGAGCCCAGAACCCTATCTAGAGCACAGAACTCTATCTAGAGCACAGAACCCTATCTAGAATCCAGAACCCTATCTCGAGCCCAGAACCCTATCTCGAGCCCGGAACCCTATCTCGAGCCCAGAACCCTATCTAGAACCCAGAACCCTATCTCGAGCCCGGAGCCCTATCTAGAGCCCACAACCTCGGTCAGTCCGTGGAAACATGTGGCCCAACGATCTCAGATTTGTTTAAGTTTGTTGTTTTGCTATTTGGGACCCATCGTCCGGTCCAGCTTCACCACATCAGGTTCTACTGATGTTAGAGCCTCAGCAGAACCATGGATCCATCCATAGACAGACACTGGAACTCTCTGGGGACACAATTCTGTATATTCCATATTTTTGATCCTTTTTGAAGTATTTGGAGTCACTTTTGACTCCTTTCTGGGCTACGTTTCAGTGAATCTATAGAACTTCAATTCAATTCAATTCAATTTTATTTGTATAGCGCATATTTACATCAACAAGTCATCTCATAGCGCTTAACCCTAACCCTAACTTCAGCCATTTTGAAAAAATTGAAAACTAATTTAGACACGTTTCAGGTCATTTAGGACAATAATGAGTCATTTTGGGAGATTTTGAGTCATGTTGGGACTCATTTGGCAGTTTTGACTCATTTTTGTAAACATTTTGACTCATTTTTGAGAATTTTGAGCCATTTTAGACACGTTACTGAGAACTTCACACCTGGCACAGGACGTTTCACGTAAATCAACCTGTTTCACGTAGAACTTTCATTTTTGGGTTAGAATGTCACATGATCCTCCAGCTACAGCGTGGAACCTTTGACCTGCCGTAGAACTCTTTAAAAGCAGTTAGGATCTTGTGCTGTGGTGTGGAACAGCTGAAGGTGACCTGCTGCTCTCTGTCCGTCCTCAGTTATCGGCAGAGGAGGAGAACAGATCACCAGGATCCAGCTGGAGTCGGGTTGTAAGATCCAGATCGCTGCTGGTGAGTTCTGATTCTGCTGAGTTTTACTGTTTAACCTGACGGAGAAGAATCTTTAGCAAGTTCCTGAAGCTGCCCAGGGCTGGATTGGACCTAAACATCCTCAAACAGCAGGTTCTTGTTCGACATCTGATGTGCTGGAGTTACTGTACATGTGTGTGTTTGCAGACAGCGGAGGTCTGATGGAGCGGCCATGTTCCCTGACCGGAACTCCAGAGAGCATCGAGTGAGTTCATTAGCGCCAACCAGTCAGTTAAGTCAGTGAGTTATTCTAAAATAGAGCATGTTAAAGATCAAAGCTGCATCTTCCAAAATCCATCGCCTCTGAAGCCCTTAGAGAAGAGCGCTGGTGTCCAGGTCTGTCCAGTCATGCTTCAGGTTGTTGTTGTTGGTAATTCCACCAAAGCAAAAAAAATTGATTTGTTGAACTTCTTATTTAACTTCATTCACAGGGTTCTCACCAGAAATGTCTGACAGCGTAGCAGCAAGGTGTCTTAGCGACGCTCCCTGGCTAACTGACGTGATTCAGGCAAATGTTTAACAACATGCGTCTATGCAGCTTCTCTGCTGTCGTCTTTGCTGCTTACGAATAGCTGCAAAGGCGGTCTTCGCTAACATTTTCACTAATGGGAGGTTAGCAAAGACCGTCTGCTAATCGATAGCAGTGAAGACATTAGCGAAGACCGTCTTTGCTAACGTCTTCGCTAATCGGGGGTTAACAAAGACCATCTGCTAACGAATAGCTGCAAAGACGGTCTTCGCTAATGTTGTCACTAATGGGAGGTTAGCGAAGACTGCCTGCTAACGAATAGCAGCGAAGAGGACGGTTGTGAAACTGCATCTACGCTTGTTAAACATTTGCCTGAATACAAGTAAGTTAGCCAGGTACAACCAACGCAGAGAAATGATCATTTTCCCGCTACATACCCTTGAAAACAGCGTAACGGCCCAATTTGCAGCATCATGTTTTCAGGCAGTCATGTAACGGGCTGGTACTCTGTTATACTGCTGGCCAGAACCCTGATTCATTTCATTCCATTGAGGTCCAAAGATTAAAGAAAAACATAAAATGTGTGACTTCTCTTCTCTTCCATGACCCGTAGTTCGAGAACCACCAGACCAATCTTTCAAATTTGTGTCAAAACAAACAAAAATTGAGACATTTTAGGATTTAGTGTCTGTTTGACAAATCTGGTGAAACGAGAAAGTGGTTCGCTGATAAGAATCACTCGCTGTGTTTTCAGGCAGGCAAAGCGACTGCTGGTCCAGATTGTGGATCGCTGTAGAAACGGTCCTGGTTTCCACGGCGACGGGGAGGGTGGCGCCTCTGTGCAGGAGATGCTGATCCCAGCCAGCAAGGTGGGGCTGGTGATTGGCCGAGGAGGAGACACCATCAAACAGCTGCAGGTAGAGTGTGACAAAAGTCGTGTGGAAGGTTGTAGGTCAGATCGCAGGATCTGGACAAGATCACAAGGTGTTGGCGAGGGTAAGGTCAGGTAGAAAGTTCTACGTATGATTACAAGTTCTAGACAAGGTAACAAAGTGTTGGCTTGGGTAAGGTCAGGTAGAAAGTTCTACGTATGATTACAAGTTCTAGACAAAGTAACAAAGTGTTAGCTCAGGTAAGGTCAGGTAGAAGGTTCTAAGTATGATTACATGTTCTAGACAAAGTCTCAAGGTGTTAGCTCAGGTAAGGTCAGGTAGAAGTTTGTTAGCTATTTCTGGTGAAAAGGTTGTAAGCTAGGTTAAGTTCTGGATAAGGTTAGAAAACAAAGATGTTCAAGGAGGTTCAAGATTCTAGGTAAGGAAGGTCAGGTAGAAGGTTCTACGTACGATTGCAAGTTCTAGACAAGGTAACAAGGTGTTGACTATTTCTGGTGAAACGGTAGTAAGCTAGGTTAAGTTCTAGATAAGGTTAGAAAACAAACATAGGAAAGGTTCAAGATTCTAGGTCAGGAAGTTCACATAGAAGGTTCTAGTTCAGGGAGCAGGTTTGAGTTAAGGTATCTAGGTTTTAGCTCAGTTAGGAGGTTCGTTGTCTGGTCAAAAGGTTGTTAGAACCTCACCTAGGTCAAGTCCCAGGTCCTTCATGAGGTAAAAATAAGTTAGCATAAATAAGAGCTTCGAGGTCAGGAGGGTCAAGTAAAAGATTCCAAGTTAACAAGGTGTCAGCTTAGTAGGAGGTTAAATTTCAGGTGAAAGGACGATAAATCAGGTTAGGTTCCAGGTCAAGTCCCAGCTTCTAGAGATGGTGGAAGTAATTTTTCACAAATTATAGATTCTAGGTCAGAAAAGTCAGACAAGATCAAGATTTTAGTTCAGGTATGAGGTTCTATGTCAGGTGAAAAGGTTGTACTTTAGGTTGTAGGTCAAGTTCCAGGTTCTGTATTAGGTAAACATATTATAGCACAGGTTAAATATTCTGGCCAGGTAAGATCAGGTTGAGGAGTCTAGGTTTGGGTAAGGTTAAAAAAAGATTAAAGATTCTGTCAGAAAGGTCAGGTAGAGGGTTCTAGGTCAAGTCGCAATTTCTAGACACGATAAGAATGTTTTAACTTCAGCAGGAGGCTCTATGTCAGGTGAAAAGGTTGTAACTTAACCCAGGCTGAAGGTTCCAGATGAAGTTTCAGGTTCTTGACAAGATAACACGGTTTTAGGTCATAGAATAAGTTCTATCTCTGGTGAAACGGTTGCAAGTTAGTCTGGGTTTGGGATCGTGTTCCAGGTTCTAGATAGGACAGAAAAGTTAGGATGGGTTAAGGATCGTTGGTCAGGTGATGTTGTATTGAGATGATCAGCGTTGTTCACCTGTCATTGATTGATCTGCGGATGGGTTCTGTTGCGTTTGTTCCAGGAGCGAGCCGGTGTGAAGATGATGATGATCCAGGATGGTCCGATGCCGACGGGAGCCGATAAACCTCTTCGCATCTCCGGAGACCCGTACAAAGTGCAGGTACTGAAACAGTCCTCTGTCCTCTGTAGAACCATACATTGGTTTGTATCGGCAGTTTTGTTCTTGTTCGAGGTCCAATGAGCAGTTGGTCAGAGTGTCTCTTAGTACTTCATGACGTCCCTATTCAGTCTGAACCTATCAGCTCCAGGCCTGCTGGTTCCTACGTTTAATCTAATCCTGGTTCTGTGTTCTCCACCAGGCAGCCCGGGAGCTGGTGTTGGAGGTGATCCGGGAGAAAGACGGAGATTTCAGGTCGGGACGCAACGACTTCAGCGCCCGACTGGGAGGAACCAGCCTGGATGTACGACACGAACAAACAAACACACCTCATGTGGCTGTGTTGGACCACATGCTCACGTCTGGTTCTCTGTCTTCAGGTTCCGGTTCCACGGTTCGCTGTCGGCATCGTGATCGGCAGAAATGGAGAAATGATCAAGAAGATCCAGAACGATGCAGGAGTCCGAATCCAGTTTAAAGCAGGTGTGTTTACATGAGTGTAATCCAGATTGAACAGTAGAATGAGGTTTTAGTGCAGTGTGATGTATGTGTGACGAGTCTGTGAACGCCATGATGATTCTGATGGAGTCCAGACTAAACTGATGTTCTGACCGCTGTGTCACCAGACGACGGCATCAGTCCGGAGCGTGTTGCCATGGTGATGGGTCAGCCGGACCGCTGTCAGCACGCTGTCCACCTCATCAACGAGCTCATCCAGACCGCGCAGGTAGCCAACCAGCTCCCTCAGTCCTGATGTAAACCTGGTTCTAACCTGAACCAGGAGCCCTCTGAGACCCAGACACATCTTGCTGGCCAGAGTTGGTCCACACACTGAGGTGTTTAATCCTGATTAAATGTTCTGCTACTGCAGGAGCGTGATGGTTTTGGTTCTGCCCTGCGAGGTGGGCGGGTCAGAGGGCGCGGCGATTGGACGATGGGCTCACCTGGTCCTCTTCAGGAAGTAACCTACACCATCCCTGCTGACAAGTGTGGCCTGGTCATCGGCAAAGGTAGGAGAGAGGAAACCGTAGCCGCTGATATAACAGGCTGAGGCCAATGTTTGACACAACGTGTTAACGATGGTTCTGGAGGTTCTGTTTGACCGTGGTCCTGTAACACAAAGGTTTGTCATGGTGTTAGCATCATATCCAGTTTATACCACTATATCCAGGTTACAGTGGTTTGATAGCAGAAGTATGATTCAGTAGAAACCAGTCGGTTGAGATGAGATATAAATCCAGTATAAACCAGATTGAAGTGCTTATTTTATACCAGTGTAAACCAGATTAAACTGGTTTGTTTTCAGTATAAACCAGCTTATTACTGAAGGATGTACTGTGAAGCAGGATTACTTTTAGCAGGTACATTGAATTTAAAGTCAGTGTTTGTCATCAAGGTGGATCTCTCTAGGTCTCCATGGTAACTGATGCTGTGGAGCT